TTATCTTTCTATTGTCTCATCCACCCTACCAAACACATCACAAGTGTTTCGATGAGTTTAATTTATTATATTTGGACTTGTTTCGATGTATTTTAATTAATATTTTAAAATATTTTGATATATTTTGATCAAAATTTTAAAATCAAATTTTAAAAATTTTTCGTTTTTCAAAATATTATTATTATTATTATTTTTAACATGAACATTTTTGTTTATAAAGTAATAGAAACTATGGTTAATTCATGTGTGAATGCAAGGTACAGTATGAATAGTTTGAGAGGAATGTTACTGTTCGTTAAATGAATTTAGTTGTAACTGTTAGGAAATTTATCGGAATCTGTAACATCTTATATTAAAGATTATGGAAAGAAATTGTAAGAACGGCAACTTGAATACTCAACCTCGGTCACGTGAGTGTCACGTACGAAACCCATATTCATGTTTGGGGAGAGGGAAGGAGAAAGACAGAGAAAGGCAGAGAAAAGAGGAGAGAGAGAGAGAGAGAGAGAGAGAGAGAGAGACACCAAGAATGGGTAAGGTAGCTACTGCAGAGACGGAGAAGAGAAAGAAGAAGCAAAGGGGAGGTCCTTCTCTCTCAGACCTACAAAAACCATCTCTCAATCAACCACGAAACCCTAATTCTGAAAACACCCAAACACGTCGATCTAGCCGTCTGAACCCTAACTCCGACGCTCTCTCTCCTGCAACGGAATTTGTCGGTAACGACGACGACGATGAGAGGAAAGAGAAAAAAGTCAAACTCGTCGTTCGTTTACCCCAATCGAAGCAACATTTTCCTCGTTCTTCTTCTATGGAATCTGGTTCAAATTCGGACGCCGATGGCGAGAATTCCGAGGCTTCGAACAACAAACGAAAGATCGATACCGTTAATGACAGATCTGACGACGTCGATGCTTATCAGGTGCTAAGCATCACCATTTTGGACTTTTGCAAATTCGAATTCGTGTCATTACCTTTTTATTTGTTTTGGAAATTGGTAAAAGAAGAGTTTTTTTTTTGGGGGGGTTTGTCTATTTTCGATATTATGTGTTTATCTTTTGTAGGTTTCTGTGTCTTGGACCCTTCAGTAGTTTTAAATTTTTTTGGGATTTCGCGCCCAATTCGAAGGTTCTTTTCTGTGACTTCCAAGATCGGAAGTGGGTACATGTGTTTTGACTTAGTCAAGGGTCTATTTGCCTATATATATAACAATGTTTTTTTTTTTTTGCTTTTGATAAATTATTCTATTTATTTATTATTATTATTATTGTTATTTTCTTGATTGTTTGTAATTAATAGACCCTTTCTGTTCATATACTAGCATGTTTGGAAAAAAGTTCAATCTTGTCTTTTCTTTAGTTATTCTCAGTTATTTTTTGGTGGCGTAAATTATCATTCATTATAACCCAGTGAGAACGAATTTCTAAACAGAAAAAGAAATGCAGAACTGCAAGAACAGTGATTATATGCATCGACTTAGGTCGGCTACATAGGTCTTCCTTTATTTGACAAATTTAATGTACACATACTTTTGTGTGTGTGCGCGCGCATAGCCAGATTCATCCCCAGTAGTATACTGGTATCAATTATCAAGAACATGTATTCTCTATCCAATCATTTTATTTCTAAATTATAGAGTCACAACTCAGTTAGGAGAAGACAAAGTGTGAATCAATGAGCTGGATGCAGAGTGCACACCACAAGAGGCAAAATTATTATCCAGCATTACAGTGGTTATGACCAATCAAAGAAAACTTACCCAGTTTTTGAAGAGTCAGAAGTTGCATTGCTATCAGCCTTTGCCTGAGAAAACCACAAATAACACAACACAATACCAATTCTTTAACACAAAACAACAAAGTTCAAAGGCAAAAATACAATAAAGGGGATTAGTGTATTAACTGCAACGGCTTTGGTAATCAATTTTCTTGCCCTGCAGACTCCGAAAATGGATCCCAAATTCGATCTTCCCTCGGATCTGATCACTAATGAAACAGCAAACAAAAGAAACAAAAAAAAAATTACAATGAATAATTTGAGCTCCTTTTGGTTTATTAAGAAAATGTAGGAGGGAAAAGAGAGAGAATTTGTCGTGCTGAATCTCAAGTTTCTATCATCCCGGATTGAATTTAATAAATTGCTTACAAATTGATTGGTCTCATTAGGTTTCTTGTCATTCGAATTTTAAATTTTCATTTCTTGCATTACATTTTTCCTTTATTGTCTCAGAACCGAACGGAAAGTAAAAAAAATATTGAAGAAAATATATATATATATATATATATATATATATATATATATATATATACAGAGAGAGAGAGAGAGAGAGAGAGAGAGAGAGAGAGTGAGAGAGAGAGACTAAACAAACAAAAGAAAAACCTGGAGTGATTGGACAGAGGAAACACCCAATTTGTTGTAGTGATCTAGAGGTGTTGCAGATGCTGACGCTACTCCAATTCCCTGCAACATGGCCACCATTTTCTCCTCTTCTCTCTCTCTAGAAGTGTGTGTGTGAGAGAGAGAGAGAGATTGTATATGTACAGCTTGTGATCGGGAATGTATATAAAAAGGAAAGAGGGTTTGGTTGAGAAAATATAAAGAAAGGAGAGAGAGAGTGGGCGGAGATTTTAATGGAAGTCTGGAGATGCAAGAAAGAAGAAGAGAACGCAGAGGAGAGAGGGGATCAGCTCGTCTGCGGTGAGTGACTTACCGCATGTCTTGCGGTTTAATGAAACGGCACAGTTTTGTTCTTTGTTTTTGCTTTTTTTTTTTTCCTCCCTTATCAAAACTACGTCGTATTGATCCAGGCAAATCAGTATCAGACCCCTCTCTTTTCTTTCTCCCGCTTCTTCTTCGTCCAGTCTAGTTCTCCCGCTTTTTCACAGCTCAAACTTCTCCATCTTTTTTATCGGGTCTAGTTCTCCCAGCTTCTCCTTCTTCTTCTTCGTTGGGTGTGGTTCTCCGGCTCAAACTCTACAGTCCAGCATCTTCTTCTTTAAGTTTTTTGAAGTTTATAGGTAACAACTTAAACTTTAGAGTTTCTTGTTTTTTATGTGCTGAAGTATTTATTTACCATAACAAACCTCCAAATTAAGATGTCAGCATCAGGTAGAACTGGAAAGTAATTTCCTGTAGTG